GTGCACGCCCCGCCCCCGCTCCCCCCCCCCCCGAACAAAGCATGAAAAAGTATCAGTAACCCCTCCCGACGTGAGGAGTAGGGCGTGTACCCACTCGAGACCACACGGGGTACAAGAGCAACCAACCATAGAATCAACGGGAGGAGTCTGCTGTGTGGAGGATTGTGGACCTCCTCTACACGCCAAGCATCGATGAGGCCGTAGCGTGGGTGGCCCACTATTCGGCAACGGCAGCAGTAGTCATGTTGCGGGCAGCGTGCCCGATAGGTCACGTGTGTCTTGTCGACGCAACGACTGGCGCTTTCACTTGAGCACGGAAACGGTGGGGTTAACCGCCGACGACGCGTATCCTTCATGTATGGGATGTTGAAAACAATGAAAAAAAAACACACACACATACATAGACCTTGTTTTTTACCCGCACTGAGACTGACGTCTTTGCATTGGTCAGCCGGTTAGAAAAAAACACACACATATACATAGACCTTGTTTTTTACCCGCATTGAGACTGACGTCTTTGCATTGATCAGCCGGTGGGTGTGGTCGACGTTACTATTAGAGACACACACAGGGGCCTTGATTTGTACCCGCTGGCACCGACGTGTTTTCATTGGTCAGCCGTTTAGTGGTTGATGCTAATACTGAAAAAAAAAAAAAAAACACAAAAAGGAGACAAACCAACGAAGCACAACCTCACCCTCGTTTTACGCCTTTAACAAACGACCTTAAACGTAAAAAAACACATTATAATGCATGTTGAAAAAAAAACAAAAAAAAACTCACGGGGTTCTCGCGGCGCAGCTTGCGGGGGCGAGGAGGGCCTATCCCACTGAGTGACCTTCGTGTTGTGGTTGACGTAAAACACCTCTCCTGCGTTGGTCATCCTCTGGCTCCACCCTTCAATAAGAAACCATCAACACAGACAGATCGACAACAAAAAGCACTTCGTTGCAGCGGCGGGTCTTCTTCAAACGCTTCTGTCACCAGATCGTTAGTTGTTGCAAATTGCATACGCAAAACAGATACAACAAGCACATATTGGGTTGCAGCGGCGGAGCTTCTACAAACGATTCTGCCACCCTTGGATAAACCTTGAGATTTTGCATGTTGCACATGTACACGACGTTCCTCCCCCCCAAAAAAGAGAGGGGCGTTCCCGGGCAGCGGCATCAGGGCACCAATCGAAGATAACAAACAAAAAAGCGTACCCTTTTTGTTTTTCTTCTTTCGAAAAAAACACAACTTCATCTCGACCCACATATGAAGAGGCCTAGGGCAAAGGTTAGGGTCAGCAGCATTGGGTCGATGCTAGCTAGACATAAAACACATGAATCGTGCGCCCCGCAGAGGTGAGACCGACACGGACACGCACAATGAAAAGCATGCGTGACACACACAACGACAGATCAGATGTGCGACACAAAGGATACACGATACACAATCAAGACACAAGCACACACACAAAAAACAAAAAATTGTGCTGACCACAAAAAAAAAAAACGCGCAACATTTTCACAGTAAAAAACGCGCGACACAAATAAGAGAAGAAAGAAAACTTGTAATAAGGAACTAATAATAAGAAACTTGTAACAAACTTGCCAGGAGGAAGAGGGGGCTCCGCATCGGCGGGCGGGGGTAGGCGCGGCTCCTCCCGACTCACAGAAGAAGTGGCTGGGCGAAAGAGAGGCAAAAAAAAAAAAAAGTGTGGTTGTAAGAACAAAACACGAAAACAACATTGGGAGCGGCGCAAAAAAGTCCACGAGAAAACAGACCACGGCAAACAACTCTTGTGAGCACGTAGTAAGCAGGCTTGTCCCCACCAAGGGGGGGCGGGAAGTTGTTACCGCTGGTGGCCGCAAGGGTTGTTGCACATCCTGTTAGCTAGCGAATGTTTTTTTACTATGTCCCTGTGAACTCTACGGTGCTCCTTCCTGCCAGCTGTACATAGCCGGTCGAGCTCCTGTGTGGAGTGTCCATTTTCTTCTGAACACCCCCCTGTGAACTCTACTCGCTCCTGCGGACTGCACAAGACTGGTAGGTATATCTGTCGCCCCTTGTTGTTGATTGTTGTTTTTTTACCATCTATCCCCGTGAACTGAACGGTGTCACCCATGCAAGCCAGCAACCGTGAACCGCTAAAATGCTTTCCTTTGCGTGACCCGTGCCTACCTGCCTCGGCACGCTTGCGCTAGGGAGGCATCGGCTACGGGCACTGCTGTAAGCTCAAACACACTGACGTATGGGCGCTGCTAAGTAATACAACACTCACATCCGTAGCTGTCCACCCTTTGTTGGTACTGCGGCAGGGGCGACGGCGCGGGTTGAGGGGGGGGCACCGAGGCAGGGGCAGGGGCGGGGGCGGGGGCGGGGGCGGGGGCGGGGGCGGGGGCGGGGGCGGGGGCAGGCCTCTTCCACGTGGTGGTCTTGGTGGCGTGGTTCTCATAGTACGTTGCGCCGGAGGAGGTGGTCTTCTCGCTCCACCCTGATGCACACACAAACAAACGAACAAACAAAAAAGCGGGGGTAAGGTCATGTATGTACGCAGGTCGGTTATGCCACACAGCAGCAGCGGCGGTTTGGTGGCGGTTTCTCGCTTTTGTAAAAAAAAAATGCGTTCTTCATCTTGTCCCCACGAATACCGAGAGCCCAGGATAAACCTAGCAATACATTATTTGTAGTGTTTCGTGGTTTTCCGTTTGTGTTTCTGCGAGCATCTACTCTTCTCGACCCCCGGCTGTTCGTTTCGCGTCACCCCCGGTTTTCGTTCGTTCGTTCGTTCGTTCTACGGCATTGGAAAAATCTGGCGCGGAACTCGTGAGGCGTCGAGTCGGGCGTTTTGCTTGCGTACGGCCTTGTGGTGCAGAGTGCGGACATGGTTTCGAAGACAAAAACAGCGTCGACAGGCACATCATTGCCGCACCGCTCACCGCCACCCTTCACTACCACCATCGTCGCCGTTGCCGCCGCCGCAACCACCGCTGCCGCCACCACCAACGCCGACAACGCCGACGACAACGCCGATCACGACAACAACACTACCACCAACAGCAACAACACCAAAACCAACAACACCAACAACCACAGCAACACCACCACCACCACCACCACCACCCCCGCCAACAACAACGACAACAACACCCCCCCCGCCCACCCATCAACAACGACAGCGACAACAATCGAAGAGTCTACGTACCCGGGGGAAGAGGCTCCTCTACTCCGCCGACACCCCCACCAGAAGAAGAATAAGGCCCCGCGGAACCCCCGCCGCCAACGGGGGCCCCGCCGTGCGAAAGCGCAGGCACGGCGGGGGCTTTCGGCCGATCCCACGTCGTCGTTTTGGTGGCATGATTCTCGTAGTAGACGCATCCGGTAGACGTCGTCTTAGCGGTCCACCCTGCACAAGTAGGCAAAAAAAAATTACCATACCATGGGGTGTGTGTGTGTGAAGTGAAACGAGCCGAAGAGGAAGGTTCTTGGAAGGTTCTTGTAGGTACGAAGGTGGTGAAAGGTAGGCGTGTATGTCGCGTGTGTTCAGTTTGCAACAGCGGCGCATGGCACTTGGGAAGAAGTCGCTGCGGACTCGGACACGCGTGCTGGACACGAACAACTGTCGATGGCACCAACCACTACCACTACCACCACCACCAACAACAACACCACCCCCAACCACCAACCACCACAACAAAAAAAAAACACAGAGCGCGCACAAAGTGTACATACCCGGCGGCAGCGGCTCCTGCCCTTGCGGGGGAGCGGGGGCGGGCCGGGGGGCGGGGGCGGCGGCGGCAGCCGGCCTCTCCCAGGACGTTGTCTTGGTCACATGATTCTCGAAGTAGACTGCACCGGAAGACGTTGTCTTAGCGGTCCACCCTGCCACAGACAACAAAAAAAAAACACAGACAGATCAACCGCTGCTGCTGTGAGAGTCCGAAGGCCTAACACGTGCGGAATTAATAAACTCTTCGTTGGTTCAGATTCAGACCCAAGTTACCGTCGCTTGTGATAGGAAGAGAGAGGCACGCACAAGTCAACCCATTGGGCCACGGTTTACGCCCGGGTCAAACCGCATCTCGCCCAAACCTGAACCCCGTCGCTCGAAAAAGTTGTCGTTTTTCATCACTTTGAATCAGCGCTCACGTCATTTCTGCCAGGTATTGGTAACTTGCTCACGACTCGGCCCTGTCATCCATGCTGTGCGGGGCAGTGCCTCCGTGGCTCAGCGGGCAATACCAATAACAATACCAGTGGCATCACCGAGCATCACCGGAACCACACCCACCACGAAGGAACGACAGCGATGGCGGTGCTCATGATAAAACCTCAAGGTCAACATCGACAACCGACCGCGACCGAAGGCAACGCAACAGCAGCAGCAGCAGCAGCAGCAGCAGCAACAACAACAACGACGACAACAAAAGAAGCAGCAGTACCTGGCGGCAGGGGGGGGGGGGAAAACGCGTGGGCGACTGGGGCGGCGGGGGCGGTCGGTCTCTCCCACGACGTTGTCTTGGTCACATGATTCTCATAGTAAACTGTACCGGTACCCGTTGTCTTAACGGTCCACCCTGCATAGACAAAAACAAAACGCCATGAAAGACACAAAAAGGAAGAAGCATGTGGTCAAGAATCCGAAGACGGAGACAGGGCGGAAAATATATACCCCTCATTCGTTCTATCAGCCGACGTTGCCGACGTTTGCGGTCAACGACGAAAGAGCCGCCAGTCAACCAACCCCACGCGCCTCGATCTCCCAATCGAACCGCAACGCACCGAAACCTTGTACCCGGCAATGATTTTTCCAACCGACAGGGGACCACCACCGGAACCCCCACCACAAAACTCACAGATGACAACAGCAACCAACAGCGATTTAACGACACTGACGGCGGCGGCCGCGACGATACTGGGTCAACAACAACATCGACAACCGACCGCGAATGGCTGCATACACGTCTGCAACAACAACGACAGCTCGCGGGTAAACTGCGGACACACCTGAAGGCAGCGGCGCCTCTCGTTGGGGGGCGGGGGCGGGGGCGGGGGCAGCCGGTCTCTCCCACGACGTTGTCTTGGTCACATGATTTTCGTAGTAGACGGCACCGGTAGCCGTTATCTTAGCGCTCCACCCTGCCACAGACAACAAGCACAGAGACAGACCCACGGAAGATGGGTATAGAGTAAAGAGCCCATAGACGGAGACGGGCGGAGTAACAAGAACAAAAAAAAAAACGACGCATCACCGGAGGTAAGGCTGCTGGTGAGAGAGGGAGGCGACAGACAGGTGGAGAGCAAAGCTTTTTATTCGTGGTTGTTTCCATCGGGGGGCAGTCGTCGTCGCTCGCTGACGACGCCACCAGAAGAGCGGCACATCAGCAGTCAGACCGTAAATTCGCCACGACATTTTTTCGATCAAAGGGCGGCAGTTGCGCCGCAAAGCGCGCGGTCTTTGCCTTCTCGTGGTAGGCTTGTGCTCCGTACGTGGGCGATTTCGCGATTTAGATGCACTAACTTCTCTTCCAACGTTCAGTATATAAAAAAAAAAGGATCACAAAAGTACCAGGCAGTCGCCTGCGGAGCACAGCCCTATCTCGTGGCGTGCTGAGGGTGATAGATATCTGGAGGATCTCTATTGCGGCGACACGATGCAGGTGATGCGTGCTCGCACCGACCTCCCTCCGGAGGTGGAGACCTTGAGAAAAGACGGCCAGCGCCAGCGCCATCGACAAGAAAGCAGCGTTGGCAGCAGCAACAACACAACAGCAACAGCAGCAGCAGCAACAGCAGTAACAACAACGCACCGGGCGGCAGCGGGCCTTCTCCTCCAGCACCAACAGCAGAAGCAACAGCAGCTCCCCCGATGGGGCCAACAGACACGCCGGACGACCCCGAGTTGCCCGCGGACACAACCTCTGGAGCAGAATACATAGGAACGAAACACAAAAAAGCGGGACGTGAACATTTATCGCACAACAAGGGCATCCGTCCCGTCCCATTTTCGTCGCATCCCGCCTTTTCCATCCCGCCTCATCCCCACCCAGCCTCATGGCATCGCGACACACAACACCACCAAACATGTCACACTCCGTCGACATTGCACCGTTTGATGATGGGGAGAAGGACACGGGCGGTGCCCCTAGCACACAACAGCCCGTTGGGTTCAGGCCTAAAAAAAACTCTTCGGCCTATCGGAGGAGAGGGTTTCCCGCTCACAAAGAAGAAGAGAGCAAGCACACTCGGAAGGGGGGGGAGGGTGTGTGTGTGTTCCTAACACACGACCCGTTTGTTTTTGGCCTGAAAAGCATCTCTACGGCCAATGTACCGGACGAGGTTTCTTCCACTTACACACTCGCTTTCTTCGCACGGGCGGCGGTACTCACGTGCGGTCACCAACGGCACCCCGTGGGTGTTAGAGGCTGCGGCGGCGGCGGCAGCCGGGACCGTAGGCCTCTCCCAGCTGGTGGTCTTGTCGACGTGGTTGACGTAGTAGACCTCTCCCGTAGCCATGACCTTGGAGGTCCACCCTGGTGGTTGAAAAATGAATGGAATTCATGATCGATCAGGTAGACGTTGACCGGGGGGATCTTGTGTCTCCCAACAACTTTCACCTCTTCCTGTTACAAAGAACACAACAAGTCCATCTCTTCCACAGATACTGTACGAGGCCGTGATTCACTAGCAATGAATTCATGGTGTTGTGTGAAGACCAACTTGTTGCATTTCTACCGTTCCCCGAGCAGCACACAGCGATATCTCCCCAGTGGGCATTCTTCTGTCAGTGCGACAACACACAGCATCTCCTCCCTCTTCTCTCTCTCTCTCTCTCTCTGTACGAACGAGTTGTTTCGGTGCGCTCCATCTCTCTCCCTGTGACATCACCAAGGATGGAGACGGGTGCCCCGTGTCTCACCGACCGGCAGAGGCTGCACCCCCCCCAGACCGCCGCTAGCAGCGCTCCCGCTGGAGCTGTACGCCGGGGCAAACGACGTCGTCTCTTCTTCGCCCCACCGCTGATTCGTCAAGAGGGAAACGGAGGAAGGGGTGGTGGGGGGGGGGGGGGCAAGGGTGGGAACATGGCGGTGTAGGGTGAGTTATTCCTCACGCACAAAACCCCAGATGAGGGCCTGGTTCAAAGAAAACGAAGCACATCTATGTATATTGTACCGCCGACCGGGGGGAACCTCAACAGGGGGTCATAACCCCTTTTTTTTGGTGAAGGTTGGGGAAATGCCCCCCCCCCCCAAAAAAAAAAACAGAAGAAAAAAAAACAGGTGGAGGCTATATGCGACAAACAACGCTCACACTCGCCGCCGTGGTCTTCCAACAAAATCAAACATCGTCGTCAGCCTGCTGTGCCCCTGTTTCCTTACCCCTGCCCCCACCCCCGCACACCGCACGGCCGCCAACAACCATAAAACACGCGGCCGCTGCACAAAAAACAAGACCCCCCCCCTTGTCTTTCTTTTTTACGTACGCGTAGCAACCACCGGCTGCGGCGGGTGTTCCTCAGCGACAGAGATCTGGGGGATGCCTTTGGGTCTGACCCAGGTCGTCTTCTTCTCCTTGTGGTTGACGTAGAAGATCTCGCCGCCCGCGGTCTTGCTCTCGCTCCACCCTGTAGAAGGAAGGAAGCAGAGCAGTAGATGTATGGGCGGAAGGGGGGGGGGTCGCGGTCAAGCTCACATCATCGACGTCCCTGAAAAACACGTCCGTTCGCGAAAGTCATACAAGTATCAAGCACGAGTGGGAGTGGGTGCTCCATCGCATCGCGTCCAGTCAGGTGGGGGGGAGGCAATAGTCAACCAACTAAAAATATGGACACGGTCGGTGTGCGCAACAAAAACAAATCGTCGCTCATCAATTTAGCGTTCCATCCCCCGGACGACCAGCGTCGCCCGCAGGTGGGATACATAATGACAAGTGCCAGAGGACCAAAACTTGCTCGCCAACAACAGTTGATTACTCAGGCGATGAAAAAACCCAGCTGAGATGGGGGACGGGGGTCGAGCAACCCTTTGGTGCGGGACCCCAGATTGGAGTTCCCTCGCCGGAGAAGGCCAGACATTGCAGGGAAGGGACAAAACGAACGCACGGCAACAAGAGACAAATAGAAAATCGCGATCGACTTGAAAAAAACGAGCAAGAAAAAAAAAACTGTGGTCGACGGCATAAAAATGGGAAATGAAAATAAACATAAAGATCCGCGTAGGCTCGTTGCCAGCTCTCACCGGGCGGTAGCGGTGTCTCGCCGCTCGAACCAGCAGAGCCGGCGCTCCTGTTGGAGCCGAAGGACCCTCGATTGTTGGAGCCGAACGGTGCCCGCTTGGCATCGTTGCTACCCGTCGAGCGCGCGCTGTTCACCGACCCGTGCTGGGGTCCTGCTGGTTGACGTCGTCCGTTTGAGGACGAGACTGTTTGTACGTGCGTAGCATACGGCAGCAGCGCGAGGGTTGGCATTGCCGCGGGGGGGGCGGGATGGGACGGGGTTACTCGACCATCAAGACCACCGTCGTCTGTTAGCCGCGATGTGCATAGATCGATCTAGCCAGCAGGTGCCCGTCCCGGGGACAAAGCGCGAGCAGAACAAAAAACTCGGAACAATCCTCCTCCCGATAGGCAGGCATTGCGCCGCCGCAACCGCCCGCGAAGCGTAAGCCAGCCCTCTGACGACGGGACATGTTCTAAGCCAATGGGGAGTCACGCGTGAAGCGGCGAGGTTGTCATCGTGTCAAACCGGGGGCGGTGCGGGCGGCGGCCGGGACGGCCCGCCACGAATCTCATCACCGTGTTTTCGGCAGCGGAACGGATGAAAGTGATTTCCGGTTGTTGACGCATGACGGCCATGATGATGAAAATGTCGTCGACACACACACACAATATGATGATATTATTTTCACACATGGTGATGCCGAGGAGGTACCCGAAACCTCTGCGCGGGGTGAAGAGCACAGCATCGGTTTGGTGAGACACACACATACTTCAGTGTACCCGTGACCCCACGTGGTCCGCGGTCTGCTTGCGCACGCACCCGCGCTCACAACAAACCCCTTCCCTCACCACTCTCCCTCCCCGCCTCCTCGCGTTCCATTCACAGAACCCCTACCCCCCCAGCTACACAAACCAGAAGGAATCCGGGTCTCACAGGCAGCAGGAGCAGCAGCAGCGGGAGCCGGGTCTGGCTCCGGCCGTTCCCAGCTGGTGGTTTTGTGCTTGTGGTTGATGTAGAACACCTTTCCGTCCGCCGTCTTTTCGGCGGTCCACTCTGCATTGGGTCAGTCAGGGGAGGAAGGACGCCGCGGCGGAAACAGCAACGGCATCGACGGGCGGGGGGGGGGGGCTTACACTGTTGGTCGTTCGCCTTTCGCTGATATTCGAGGTGGTTGCTGCTAATAATATACCGTTGTTTTACTACGACCTCTGACGCTCTGTTTTCGAGCGAACGTCTCGCGTTGTCGTTTTCGTTGTTATTGCCCTCTATCCAGTAGCAAAACCTTCCACGCCCCCCCCCAGCCCCCCCGACACGGGGCCCCTCGCCCACAGGTTCTAAACAGGCAACACGACCCTATCACATGGCACACCCAGCGCTCAAAGGGCGTGGACGATAGATGCCCGCCGGGAGCGGTCAAGGGCGGGAATGAATGGCTGAACGAGAGATCGGGAAAGAACAACGTTGGACGTTTGCATGTGTGTGTGTGGCATCAAAATACTTAAAGGAGCAAGAGTCTCGTATTGCAGTGCACAGCAGTAGAGTCAGGAAAACAAAACAAAACGCAACACTCCTACTTCGCACAAAGCAAGCACACCGGCGGTGCCGCCCCGGCTTATTTACTTCTTTCGCATCCGGGCGTCTCTCCCGTACACGTACCGTCCGGCAGCGGCGGCTCTCCGCCACCATCACCACCGACGGCCGCGGGAGCGGCGGCACCGGCAGAGCTCCCGTAACCACCGCTGGCGCCGGACATGCCACTGGCCGAGCGCCGGCGTCCATCGTCGGCCCCCTTCGTCGGCTTGGTGTAGGTGGTAGCCTGTGCCGAGGAGTGAGGGGAGCAACGACAACAACAACGCCGCCGCCGCAAATCAGACTCATTCCTCCACGGTTGGTAGTCGGTGCGCGCGGGCCAAACGACATGACGAGACGACTATTTAAACAAAGCGGAAACCTCGTTTGTCGGGGCTTGGAAGTTACAAAAACTCCATTTGGCATCTCCGACGTGGAGAATACAATATGTCCCCATTGTTGCAGGGGCACATACAAGTCACCCCATTCCCCCCCCCGGTGTTTCTATCGGGGTTGGGTTTTCGTCGCTTGGCAACGACGTTGTAAAACACGCCGATCACTTCGTGAGCTCGGCAACCAGGTAACCGCTTTTATTTTTTGGCCTATTTTCTTTTTGCAGAAAGCATGAATGGTGGTCGAGTAGATTATTTTGTGCGGGGTCGAGAACCCTCACTTCGCGCAAAGGGGATGATCGCACCACGTTGTGTTAAGTTGGTCAAGCACCCTCAAGGCAGCTACACAGTGCTTATAACTGTCTCTGGAAGTGAAAGCACCAGAAAATAAATTCAGCCATACGCAGCTGTCATCCGTACGCAAGGAAGTAAGCACAAGATGCCGAACACCCTTGGCAGGATGCAGCGCACCCTTCATGCGACTCGCCGAATACCTCACGGCGCTTCGCGCTTGGTGATGTGAGAGCCTGGTCCGGTGAGAACCCGGCTTTGTAGGGATGCGACGTCAGTGGTCTAACGACTACGGCATGCACGACTATGAGTGCCCCGTCCGCTTCTACCCCATTTGGAGATGTTCCTTTACGCAAGATATCTAGTCACCTTGTTGACGTGGTCGATGTACAACACCCTGCCGTCTACGAACTGCCTCTCCCACCCTAGAAATGCCACAAGCAAATGCGGGGCGAGGAGGGAGGAGGGGGAGGGGGGGGGGGGGGGAATAAGTAAGTAAATAGACGTGCAGAATAAGCTAAGCGCACACTGTCGCAAACACGCTGTGAGAGGGAGGGGGAAGAGAGAGAGAGAGAGCGGCAAGTCATGTCGACCATATGAACGGGCAGCACTATTGGTTCGGAAAAATTGTCACGGCCTCGGCGTGCGCTCCGAACTAGACGCAAGCTGTAGCAGTCCCATCTGAGAGCGGCTTTTTAGCCTCCGAGTCTTGCCAGAAACACTTGCCACCCCGCCCACTCCGAAACACGCCTAAAACAACAGGCCCCCTATAAAGGGGGAAACAACACCAACACTTCAGACATTTGTAGGTGTCGAGCCCACTGGCAAGGACAAAATAAGGGCGAAAGAACGTCAACAGAGAGTTCTCTACCGCAACCGAATAGGAACGACGCTAGCCTCCGAAATGGATCATCAGCCAATGGTCAACTCTCACACCGGGCAAGGTCGCCCCCCCTGCCCCACTGCCTTCCTCGCCCCCCCCCCCCCCCCCCCCCCCAAATCTCCCACCTTCAAGAAACCATTTCCTGGCCCCCCACAAACCCCCCTGGGGGGGGGGGGGGGGAACC